GCCTATTTTTGTGAAGAGTTCAGAATTTTTGAAATTTTTAAATGGGTTTCAGGAATGAAAGTTTTTTTTTAATTATCGCATGTATGAGTGAGCTCTCTTATAATGTTAAATTTTTTTCCATTTCCATATGCCTCGAGAGGTCTGCCCAGAGTGAATAGTATGTTAAGGGATATGGAGGTGGCATGGAGGGGTATGAGGGAGCATAGAGTACAAAGGACATGGGGCATGACATGAAGGTGTGAGAGCTACAGGACCTATCAGCCATTTAAAGATCTGTACTAAAATCTCAGAAAACTGAGGTAGGCCTCCTAACCAACTGTTAGAACTTGCCTACCTTCAAAACAGCCTATGGATTAATTGGGCTCAACTCCAACCTGCCTTTGTCTTTCCAGATCAAAATGTGGTAGGTAAGGGCCCTTTTAAAGGAGACAGATGTGACATGTTGGGAACCTTCCTGATTTGAACTTCGAGTCTTGATGGTCATTCTAGCCCATGACTTTATTTTAGTTCAGGCTGGCCCATGTGCAAAATTATTTACTTTAAAGCATAATAAATCCAGAAATAGTAAGAACTGCCGATGCTGGAGTCAGAGGTAACATAGTGTGGAGCTGGAGGAACACAGCAGGCCAAGCAGCATCAGAGGAGCAGGAAAGTTGACGTTTCGGGTCAGGACCCTTCTTCAGAATTTCTGAAGAAGGGTCCCGACCCGAAACGTCAATTTTCCTGCTCCTCTGTTGCTGCCTGGTCTGTTGTGTTCCTCCAGCTCCACACTGTGTTATCTATAAATCCAAAAATGTTGGTTCAGTTGGAGTAATTCACAATACAAAGGAAAGAAGAAAGCAACCCCTTGCAATGACCTGAAATCAGGTATCAGTAACTTTGCACATTATCTAGAATGTTTGACAATGACCCTTCACTGTCATCAAAGTGGTCACTACTGCTGTACTTTTCATGTATAAATCAAAAGAGAATTGTGAGTACCTTAGGGATTTATCCACTCCACGGGCTGAATTTGTGGGCCCCCTGCCCAAAGGGGTGGAGTGAGGTGGAGCCACCTCGATCAGCATAGCTTTCTTTCATTCATGGAGCGTGGACATCACTGATGAGGTTGGCTTCTGTTGCCCATCGCTAATTTTCCCTGGAGAAGATGGTGGTGAACTGTCTTCTTGAACCATTGCAGTACTTTGGTGTCAGAAAACTCACATTTAGGGAGTTTCAGGGTTTTGACTCAATGTTAGTAAAGGAATAGTGATGTAATTTAAAGTCCATGTGCAGTGTGTTTTGGGGTAGTGGAGTTTGGATGCTATGTAAGGATCCCTGGTGAGTTGTTGCAATGCATGCTGGTACACACTGTTACACCTGTGAGTTGGCAATGGAGGGAGTGAATGTCCAGGTGTTAGATGGGGTGTCAGTCAAACTGTTTTGTCCTGGATAGTATCAAGCTTCAGGCAAGTGGAGAGTATTCCGTCACCTGTCTGACTTGTGTTTGTAGATGCTGGACAGAACGTGAGTTACACACCACAGAATTTCCATCATTTGATCTGCTTATGCAGCCACAATATGTACATGACTGGTCCAGTTCAGTTTCTGGTCATTGTTACAATGAGGATGTTATAGTGGGTGATTCAGCAATGGTAATGCCATTGAATGTTTAGGGGGTGATGATTGGATTCTGTCTTGTTGGAGTTGGTGATTGCCTCTCACTTGTTTGGTATGAATTTTATTTATCAATTATGAGCCCAAGCCTGAATATTGTTCAGATCTTTGGACACAAACAACTTCAAACAACTAAAGTGTTGTAATTGGTGCCGAACGTTGTATCATTAGCAAACATTCTCACCTCTGAGCTTATGATGGAGGGAAGGTTGCCGAAGCAGCTAAAGATGGTTGTGTCTAGGAAGCAACCTTGAAGAACACCTGAAGCAATATCCTAGGGGTAAGATGATTGATCTCCAATAGCCAAAATCATATTCCAGTTTACTAGGTGTAACTCTAACCAGCAGAGAGATTTTCTCTTTGATTCCCATTGACTCCAGTTTTGCTAGGGCTCTGTGATGCACCGTATGTCCAGGAGTTGCCTTGATATTAAGGGCAGTTACCCTTGTGTGAGTTGAGACCTTGGCTGTAATGAAGCAGAAAGCAAATGCAGCATCAGTGAGCAGGGATAGTAGGAACTGCGGATGCTGGAAAATCTGAGATAACAAGGTGTAGAGCTGGATGAACACAGCAGGCCAAGCAGCATCATAGGAGCAGGAAGGCTGACGTTTCGGGCCTAGACCCTTCATCAGAAAAGGATATTCTTTTACAATTGCTGCATAATAATATTGTCGATGAGCGTGTTCATTACTTAGCTGATGATCAAGAGAGGACTGAAGAGATGGTAATTGACTAGACTGGATTTGCCTTGCTTGTTGACTGGACCTACCTATGCATTTTTCCACATTTCTGGATAGATGAGTAGCTAGAGATGCAGCTAGTTCTGAAACTCAAGTTTTTATGCTGTTGCCAGAAACAGTCCATTGCTTCAGCAGTATCCAGTGCTTTCAGAACATTTGAGAATGTATATTTTGATCAGGTTCTGAACACTATTTGTGAAATAGCAGCAAACTATCTGAGTATCATAAATGAATGTGACTGATGAGCCACGATATCCGAAATACCACTGTGTAAGGTGGAAGAAAAGCTGGAGGATTTGCTTATCTGTTCAAATCATCAGAGTGTGTCAATATTGAAGGCTTAAAGGAATCCGGAAATTGGTTTAAGAAACAAAGTGTAGGCAGACAGGATTAGCTAGGATAAGCCAAAACTAATAAAGGGATCTTTTTTTCAGAGGATTACAGGATCAGAACATTAGAACTGGAAATCCATCAACATCAGTACATTTTTAAGAACATTAATGTATTTTTAGAACATGGATTATAAACTTGCATATTCTGATATAATACGTTTACAATGCAATACAGATATTTACATGATACAGATACAACACAAATAAATCATAGACTTGATTACTAATATGTACAAACCTGCAGGTATTGCAGCAAATGAGTAGATAAAGCAAAGCATTAAGTTTTGAAGTCAGTTTTCATGAAAAGGAGGCTCATTGTCAGTTGGCAGCCTGTTATGCAGTATGCCAGATTTTATTTTTGCAGGTTATTCAGCCCATTATGCCAGTGCTAACTCTTCAAAAGAGCTTTCCCCATAACTCTGCAAATGTTTTCTTTAAAATATCAGATTTCTTTCCACAAATTACTGCTGAATGTCTTTCCAACATTCTTTTCAGATAATGTATTCTAGATCACTCCAACTCACTGTGTACCAAAATCTTCAACTCCCCTCTGTTTCATTATCCTATGTCTCATCTGGTTACTAATCCTCCTGCACAGCAGAAACGTTTCTCATTTACACTATCCAAACCCTTTGTAATTCTAAACATCTATACTAAATCTCTTAACTTTGCTTTAAGGTGTATAGTCCCACCTTCTGTAGTCACTACCCATCACTGAAGTCCACCATCCCTTTTCCATTCTAGTAAACGCCCTCTGCATTACATCCCCAGAGTCCTGAGCAGCAATGTCCAAAATTTGATACTGCTGCTGAGACCTCGAGTGGGAAAGAAAATTTAGCATTGTGCGATGCAGTTTGCTGATTCAGTATGGGCTTTTCTTGTACTTGTAGGAAAGACCATTTCCACTCTCAAGAACATGTGATGTAAACTCTCTGACACACAGTATTAGTTGTTATTAGATGCATTTCACCACAATTAAATCCTAGTTTGTACAAAATGTTCTCGCTTAGCTGGGTTGATGTTCCTGATTTTCCATAGGAATCGATGCCAGAGCTAGATATCTGAGGACATTGTTTGCCTGGATAAACGAATGTCAATGTTGAAATACTGTGCTATAAATGTGCAACACTGTACAATCCTAGCCGAAATAATTTACAAAACAAAATAAATCATTGAATTTAACAGAAATACTGAAAAAGGAAGAGATTTAAAATAACTAAGTAAATCAGTATAAATTGAGCTTAAAAGGCAATCTTTATTTGAGTAAGTGAAAATCCAAATAGACTTGTTTCAAACCCCAGAATAGGATTTATCTCAGCATCAAAAGTCTTTTGATAATACTCCAAACCAGTTATTAATTCAGTTCAAAGCTATGGATGGAGAGATGACAGATTACTCGAGGTAAACCCTGGAAATGGATTCAAAACTTGTTCAAGACTTGGAAACATATTTGTAGTTAGAATTATATCAGAGTTGGAGTGCCTCAAATGTAATCTTGGAAATGGTGGTCTGAATTTTCCAGTTGGCCAGGCAATCATTATTCCTCATAAATGGGAGTTACAGGACCTTGTGGAATCCCCATTGTAGCACACAAAAGGATCAGCCAAAAAATTTAAACCATTAGATGCTGTAGTGGGGCTCATTAGGATCTGTCTAGATGAATGAAATAAGATTGTTCAAATGTGCTTAAATTTCCGTAATTAAATTTCCATAATGTGATTTTATTGTATTATGTCTTTACCCATTCCTGAATGAATATTTTGTGTCAAATGGGTTGTGTCTGCATTTGCTGTTGGTCATCAGAGGTGCACAAAGTTGGGTACAGTGTCTTGTCATTTTTTATTGCTTTTTAATTTAACTTTATTGTTATTCTTTTTTTCCTGAAGAAGTATCTTGCTTCAGTTGCTGATTTCATCGAATTGATTTGCAGGGAATCGTAGCTGTAAGCCTACATTCTATCACTCAATGAAACAACATGTTGATGCATTAACTGGCGGTGTCACTGCCTTGCCTATATGCAAGGACAAGGATGTTTTCCTGCAGATGTTTGAATTTAAAAATCAATAAATATTTTAGTGGGTAAAGTTTCTTTATTACAGCCCAATTAAAGTCTTGAATATGCTAGAAAGACACCCTGTGTTTTGTAAGAATGTATGAGGAAATAGAAAGTAATGACTGATTCCTCATTTTGTTTTGGTTTGTGTCTTTTTAGAATGATTGAAGAACGTGGTAGAAAGGAAAATACCATGGCAGAAAGAAGACAGTTGTTTGCAGAAATGCGTAAGTATTCTACATAATGGGTGGTGTGTGGGGAGATTGCACATTGGTTAGTAATCATTAAGAAGGATGGGTACTTTTAAAGGAGGGGATTAGCAGTTTGTCCTTTTTTATGTTGCTTTTCACCATATTGCATTGTTCCATTTCAGTTTCTTCAGTGATTTTAATATTTTCCTTTCTCGGAAATCATTGATTTATCATTTTATTAATTTAATGCACAATTCAAGCTTTCCTTTTTACAAATTATTAACAACAATTTTGATTTTTACTTTGAGTCAGTTGGAAACTAATGAGAATTGAAAGTTTTCAATTCAATATAGCGAGAAATCAAAGATAGAACTTCATTTGCAAGATGAATTGTACAATCTCACCCCAAGAGACTCTTTCAATTAACTTGCTTCGACAACGCAGGTTTATCTTTATCAATTTGGTCCAGATTGCGAATGATTTTGGACACATCTATTAAGTTTCCTGTCAACTTTCTCTTCTCCAACATATTTAACCAGCCAAAAGTTGACATAGAACACAGGAAGTTTCCACTGCAAAGGAAGTGCGATGCTATGCTTATAAATATTAACAATTTGGAAAATAAACTCATAAATGGGGAGGCGATGGCCTAGTGGTATTATTGCTGGACTGTTAATCCAGAGACCCAGATAATGTTCTGGGGACCTGGGTTCGAATCCTGCCACAGCAGATGGTGGAATTTGAATTCAATATATGTCTGGAATTAAGGATCTAATGATGAGTGTGAATCCATTGCCAATAGTTGGAAAAATTCATTGGATTCCCCTTTAGGGAAGGAAACTGCCATCCTTATCTGGTCTGGCCTACATGTGACTCCAGACCCACAGTAATGTGGTTGACTCTTAACTACCCTCTGGGCAATTAGGAACGGGCAATAAATGCTGCCTAGCCAGCAACACCCTCATCCTGTGAATGAATAAAAAATAAATAAATAAATGCTGACGAACCTGGATCATTATTGGATAATATGCTTGAAGTGAAATGTGCAAGCCCATTAAACTAAAAGAGCAAAACTTTATAGTTTTAATCTCTTCCTTAATTTATGGGATTGCCCCAAGTGAAAAATGCTTGCCATCAGAGGAAATTCATTGTGTAAGTGACTGAACACCAGTGATATCAATGCCGTTGACAGCAAAAATAAATGGCAACCATCACAGGAGCTTCTCTGGCAGTCTATTGATTTTGGGATTTACAGGTCAGTAATGCATCTTTTGGCATTGTTATCCTATACAGACTTTAAGTATGATGTTTGAGGAATCTTATCAGCCAGAAAAGAGATTTGTGAATCTGAATTGCAGTAACTGCACACTTGCAAATTTTGAGCATGGTTTAATGTTCAATTCTGCTGTATTTGAATCATTGGGAAAGGATGTAAGAGAAATTCTAAAAATTTAACTTGAAAGTGAAGCATGTATAATGAAAATATCAGGTTTCCACCTCCAACCCTTCCTATACAAATACAGGAAAAACATACATTTGTGTGTATACCTTGAAGTATTCTAAAAATGTCTGTTACGTTTCTAATATTAGAGCCCAGTTGATATACTGAATAAATAATTTTGATTGCATTTTGTAATTTCTCTGAGGTTAAAAAACACTTTGCTAAATGTAAAGAGGTCTACTTAACACTTTATTAGAAATAAATGTATATTCATATCGTCATAGTCATGGAGCTGTACAGCATGGAGACAGACCCTTTGGTCCAATCTGTCCATGCTGACCATGCTAAATTAACCTAGTCCCATTTGCCAGCTTTTGGCCCATATCCCTCTAAACCCTCCCTAAATATATCCCAATCCAAATGTCTTTTAAATGTTGTAATTGTACCTGCCTCCTCCACTTCCTCTGGCAGCTCATTCCATACACGCACCAACCTCCGTATGAAGAAGTTGCCCCTTTTAAATCTTTCCCTGCTCACTTTAAACCTGTGCCCTCTAGTTTTGGACTCCACTACTCTGGGAAAAAAGCTTTGGCTATTCACCCTATGTACACCCCTCATAATTTCATAAACATCTGTAAGGTCAACCCTCAGCCTCTGACATGCAAGGGATAACATCTGCAGCCTATTCAGCATCTCCCTATAGCTCAAACCCTTCAATCCTGGAAACATCCTTGTAAGTCTAAAACCCTTTCAAGTTTAACAACGTCCTTCCTGTACCAGGGAGACCAGAATTGAATGCAGTATTCCAAAAGTGGCCTAACCAATATCCTGTACAGCTGCAACATGTCTTCCCAACTCCTATACTCGATGCACTGACCAATAAAGGCAAGCATACTAAACGCCACCTTCAGCAGTCCTGAAGGGTAATACCCGAAACGTTGACTGCTCCTTTCATCTAGATGCTGCCTGACTTGCTGTGTTCTTCCAGCCTCCTGTTTGTCCGCCTTCTTCACTCTCCTGTCTACTTGGTACTCCACTTTCAAGGAACTCTAAAACTTCACTCCAAGGTCACTTTGTTCAGCAACACTCCCCAGGACCTTACCATTAAGTGTATAAGTCTTGCCCTGATTTGCCTTTCCAAAAAGCAGCACCTCACATTTATCGAAGTTAAATTCCATCTGCCATTCCTCGGCCCCGCTAGTCCATCTGATCAAGATCCTGTTGTACTCTGAGGTAACCTTCTTCGCTGTGCACTACACCACCAATTTTGGTGTCATCAGCAAACTTACTAACCATATCTCCTATATTCACATCCAAATCATTTATGCAAAAAGCAGTTGACCCAGCACCAATCCTTGTGGCACACCACTGGCCATAGGCCTCCAGTCTGAAAAGCAAACCTCCACCACCACTTACCTTTGAGCCAGGTATCCTGCAATTTATTTTGTTTATTCCTGAATAATTTTGTGAAAATTCCAGCACTATAGGTGATCTGGTTTAACATTCTGTTGCCATAAAATTGAGTTTGTTTTACTAAATTACAACATCCTTGATTCCAGAGGAGGAGTTGACATCTAAAGGTGATGGATTTAAGGTGATTGGCAAGAAAATGTCCTTGATAATGATCTGGTCCATTCCCCATGAGGTGGAGCAAATGTTTGTCATAACAATTTGGAAATATTTCCCAGCAGATATTTCCAGAATGGCATTGATGCAATTCAGACCCACAGCCAAAAGCTTCACAGATAAGAGCTGGAATGTTGGCCTGAGTTTTCATCCGTGAGGAGTGTATTGGGAGTTGGGAAAGTACCAAGCTTTGTGGATCAGCTTTGTGAAAAAGTGTTAGGAGACATGATGTTTTCTTTTTTAAGGGGGGAAGGATGGTGGGTTGGGGGTGATCATGGAGAAGCAGGGAGATGGTGGCAATGATGGTTAAGTGCGAAGTGGTCAAGCTTGGGAAAAGAACAGATGTGTGCCAAAGTTCACTGCTTTTAAAAGGAATGTCTCACTGCAATGTGTCTTTGTCTCTGTTCCAGTGAAAAAGTAAAAGTTGATACTCATTGTAGGTTTGTCAACACAGCCGTTTCCACAAGCTCCGCCTGGAAGAATGTGACCAGCAAGTTGTGATATTTGTTCAGGGGTCAGAATTGTGCTACACAACTCTGGAATGATTGTGGAGTCTGTTAGATGCAAGGGCAGGCTGGGTGCACCAGCACTGTGAAGTTTTTTAAAAAAAACATTCCTTCAGTCTTCAGCACTCTTCCCATCCCCCCTCAACATATGTTCTGCATGCCCCAGTCATGTCAATACATGTCACTCCATGCCCTAAGCTCTGGAAAATCCATTTGACGATTGAAGCAGCTGTGCCACGGAGAAATCTTTGCTTGATTAGCAGCTCCAGCTCTCTGTTGTGTCGTCAATTGCCCAAATTTATCTGCACAAGATAGAATTCTAACTGCTTACAGTTTCGCGTTTTGATAAAAGGTGTGATTGTCATTTTTACTGACCTTTTAGTTAACTGAGTTTTTCTTTCAAAGTTGAAAGATGACAACGGAAGACTGCCTTTTTTTACATAACCTATTGTCACTGTCAGGTCATTGGTTTTATACAATCCATAGGGAGTTAACAGGCATGGAAGTGCCACGGCTTGGCATGAAAGGCCACAGTGAGTGGGTGAGACATTGCTTGCCAGGTGTGCCATGAGGACCTGCACCCTTACAAGGTGATCCTGCAAAATCAGAAAGCCAGGGCTTTCAGTCCTGGCTGTCACTTGCACCCCTCCAAGGAGTCTCCCTGATTCTATGAAATGCCAGGCCACTTTGTTTAGTGGATTATCACCAATCTCCTCTGGAGAGCCATTTAATAAAAATATGGGATCAAACAAGATTAACAATGGGATATTTGTACTTTGTGATTCAGTCATGGGATGTGTCTACCATTGACTGGGCCAGCATTTGAACTGAGAGCCTCACGAGGCCATTTTAGAGGACAGTGAGGAGTCTGCCATATTGCTGTAGGTCTGGAGTCACATGTAGACCAGACCAGGTAAGGATGGCAGATTTCCTTCCCTAAAGGACCTTAGCAAATCTGATGGGTTTTTATGACAACCAACATCATTAGACCTTTAAAACCAGATTTTATTTATTGAATTCAAATTCCACAACCCAGGTTCAAGAACATTACATTGGCTTCTGGATTACTAGTCCAGTGACAATATCACTATGCCATCGCTTCCCCAGTTTAATGAACAATGGGATATAAACAGAATACTGTACCAATGGCTGACTTTTCTTAACTGAGAAGAAAATTTGTTTTTTTTTTAAGGAATTACAATGAATAAAACTAAAACTCGTCAATACAGTACAAGCCTTTTATTGACACAAAGAGTCAAAGACTCCACCAGGATTATTACTCTATTTAGATAAGGTTCTTACAAGTGACCAGAACAGCATCCATTGTAAAGAAACAATTTGCATTTATATGATGCTTCTCATGTCCTCAGGATGTCCCAAAGTGATTCATTGTCAATTAATTATTTCTGAAATATAACCAGTTATTTTTGCAGGGGGAAACAATAGGCAATCAGTGAGACAAT